TAATAAAATTAAATTACATTAAAAAAAAGAAAAAAAAAGAAAGAAAGAAAATCCAAGCTAGCTACTCCCTAGGACTCCCTAGGGCAAACTTGAACAAGTTAGTCAACCTTTCTGGGACTTGGTTTTGTTATTTGATGAGATTAATAGGATTGAATAGCATAAGCATATTCTCAATAAATATTTTGTGTTATTATAAAAAATAAAATTATATCAACACTATAAAAACAGGAAAAAAGAAAAAAAAAAGATTTTTCCAGAAAAACAAAAACTAAAAGAGTTCATCACCACTAGATCTGTCTTAGAAGACGTTTTAAAAAGAGTTCTTTAAGCTGAAATGAATGGTAATAACTAACATGAAAACATATAAAAGGATAAAACTCACTAACAAAGGTACATATAAACTCAAAATATGCTAATGCTGGAATGGCATTGCATAAATCAACTTTAACCTTAGTATAAAAGTTAAAATCAGAAATATTAAATAAAATAACTATAGCTACAATAATTTGGTAATCAATGCATAATATAAAATGACTTAAATTTTACCATCAATAGCATTACATGGGAGAGGGACTAAAAGTGTACTTTTTATATGTCATTGAAGTTACATTGTGAACAGTGTAAAATAAACTGTTATTACTATAAGATATTTTATGTAAGCTTCAGGGTAACCACAAAATAAAACCTTCTTTATTTTATTTTTTTTATTTTTTCTATTTTTATTGAGATATAACTGACATATAAAATTGTGTAAGTTTAAGATGTACAAAGTATTGATTTGATACACTTAAATGTTGCAAAATGATTACCAGCATAACATTGGCTAACCTCCCTAATGTCACATAATTACCGTTTTGTTTTTGTGGTGAGAACATTTAGGATCTATTCTCAACAAATTACAAGTCTATGATATAGTTCAGTTGACTCTTGAACAATGGGGGATTAGGGTGCTGGCCCCTTATGCAATAGAAAATCCACATACAACTTTTGGCTCCCCAAAATTTAACTACTAATAGCCTGTTGTTGAACAGAAGCCTTATTGATTACATAGTTGATTAACACATTTTTTATTATGTTATGCTAATCACCATACATTACATCATTAGTTTTTGATGTAGTGTTCCATGATTCATTGTTTGCATATAACACCCAGTGCTCCATTCAGTAT